TGCTGATAGCTGCGGCTTGTGCCCATCTCTGGAACTCGTTTAGGTGGTGTTCTGAATCCCCTCTCCTCACGCACCCCAAAGCAATGGTTTCTTGCCTCTGAGGCAGGTCGAGACTTTTTCCCGGACTCCATCCCGGCTAGCTGTGGCACACTAGCCCCCTTCAGGCTGTGCTCACGCAACCAACCCCAGTCCTCTCCCTGGGATCCGACCGAAGCCCGAGCCTCAGCTCCCAGCCCCGCCCACTCCGGCGGGTGAGCAGACAAGCCTCTCGGGCAGGTGAGTGCTGGTCGGCACCAATCCTCTGTGCGGGAATCTCTCCGCTTTGCCCTCTGCACCCCTGTTGCTGTGCTCTCCTCCGTGGCTCTGAAGCTTCCCCTCCATGCACCCCTCTGTCTCCACCAGTGAAGGGGCTTCCTAGTGTGTAGAAACCTTTCCTCCTTCACAGCTGCCTCCCACTGGTGCGGGTCCCGTCCCTATTCTTTTGTCTCTGTTTTTCCTTTTTTCTTTTGCCCTACCCAGGTAAGTGTGGACTTTCTTGCCTTTTGGGAAGTCTGAGGTCTTCTGCCAGCGTTCAGTAGGTGTTCTGTAGGAGTTGTTCCACATGTAGATGTATTTCTGATGTATTTGTGGGGAGGCAGGTGATCTCCACGTCTTACTTCTCTGCCATCTTGAAGGCGCCCCCTGTCTTGTGCTTTTGGCTTTGCTTGGTTTCCTCTGGGCTCTGATTGCCTCTCCAATATTTCCCTCGGAAGCCCTCCTGCCCCCTCTAGTCCTGCTTTCCGGTGGCAATCTAGTCCCGTGCCTGTTTTCTGACACACTGTCCTGGAGATGGGACAGTAAACAGCAAACTTTGCTTTTCAACTGTCCTGGGTCAATTATTAATTATTGTGACAACTCTTTTTATTTTTTTATTGTGACAAATTTTAACGAACAAGTATAATTGTGCTTGCTAACAATACACGTGACATATAAAATGTGGGTGGTTCTCACACTCAGTGCGGTAACTATGATAAAACAAAACAAAACAAGGGGCTTCCCTGGTGGCGCAGTGGTTGAGAGTCCGCCTGCCGATGCAGGGGACACAGGTTCGTGCCCTGGTCCGGGAGGATCCCACATGCCGCGGAGCGGGTGGGCCCGTGAGCCGTGGCCGCTGGGCCTGCGCATCCGGAGCCTGTGCTCTGCAACGGGAGGGGCCACAACGGTGAGAGGCCCGTGTAACGCAAAAAAACAAAACAAAACAAAACAAAACAAAAACAGAAAATAACAAGTGTTGAGAAAGGTATAGAGAAATTGGAACCCTTCCTTGTGTACTGCTTGTGGGACTGTGAAATGGTGCAGCCTCTGAGGAAAACAGCTTAGCTGTTTTCCTGAAAAAGTTAAACACAGAATTACCTTATGACCCAGTAATTCTACTCCTAGAATTATTGTTATTGTATACTCCAAAGAATTAAAAGCAGGGACTTGAGCAGATACTTGTACACCAATATTCATAGTAACATTATTCACAATGGCCAAAAGGTGGAAACAACTAAAATGTCCCTCGACTGATGAACAGATAAACAAAATGTGGTATATACATACAATGTAATATTATTCAGTCATAAAAAGGAATGAAATTCTGACACGTGCTACAGCATAGATAAACCTTGAAAACATTTGCTAAAGTGAAACAAGCTAGACACAAAAGGACAAATATTGTATGATTCTACTTACTTGAGGTACCTAAAGTAGTTAAATTCATGGAGACAGAAAGTAAAAAAGAGGCTGCCAGGGGCTGGGGGTAAGGAGATATGAAGAGTTAGTGTTTAATGGGTAGAGAGTTTCAGTTTGGGATGATGAAAAGTTCTGGAAATGGATAGTGGTTTTGATTACACAACACTGCTAATGTACTTATCTGATGCCACTGAATTGTATACTTAAAAATGTTTACAATGGGGCTTCCCTGGTGGCACAGTGGTTGAGAGTCCGCCTGCCGATGCAGGGGACGCGGGTTCATGCCCCCGTCCAGGAAGATCCCACATGCCGCGGAGCGGCTGGGCCCGTGAGCCATGGCCGCTGAGCCTGCGCGTCCAGAGCCTGTGCTCCGCAACGGGAGAGGCCACAGTGGTGCGAGGCCTGCGTACCGAAAAAAAAAAAAAAAAAAATGTTTACAATGGTAAATTTTATGTTATGTAAAAGACTAGACTAGTACTTTTTTCCAATGAGCCATCTTTGGGTTTTCTGACCCAGCTCTGGATCTACTCTGACTTGAAGGACAGAGAGGAGATTGAATCTGTCTTCTCCAACCTCTGCCTGGAGTCAAATTACCATCATTAAGTGGAGTACTTCCTAGAAAGCACTAATTAATAAGAATCAGAACTTTGGAAAAAGCCCAGAGCTGTGTACGATAACTGGCCTTGATATGGGACCTCTCTAGAGTTATATTGGAGAATATTAAATTGAAAAAAACCCAAAACACAAAACCTCTTTCATTACCAAAATAACACCTACTTATTATAGAAAATTTAAAAAATAATGGTAACCAGGAAAAAAAAATCACCTATAATCCCATCTTCCAAAGAGAGATAACTGTAACATGGAGTATAAAATATCTTTTCAATTACTTGTATTTCATCTATATTATACATATAAAACTGTTTTACAATCTCCTTTTTTTAAAAAATTTGACAATTAAAAATATCTTTTGATGGGAAACATTTAGATAAAATATTTAATGGTTATTTAACTAAATTGGTTCTATTAAGTTTTTTGTTTAACTTTAAAATAAACTTTTATTTTGGAATAATTTTAGATTTACAGAAAAGTTGCAAAGTACAGAGAGTTCCTGTATACCCTTCATCCAGCTTCCATCTTCCATAACCTTGACACATTTTTAAACATAAATTTATTTATTTGTTTATTTTTGGCTGCGTTGGGTCTTCGTTACCATGTGCGGGCTTTCTCTAGTTGCGGTGAGCATGGACTACTCTTCCTTGCCATGTCAGGGCTCCTCATTGCGGTATCTTCTCTTGTTGCAGAGCACGGGCTCTAGATGCATGGGCTTCAGTAGTCGTGGCACGCGGGCTCAGTAGTTGTGGCTGGAGGACTCTAGAGGGCAGGTTCAGTAGTTGCGGCGCACGGGCTTAGTTGCTCGGAAGCATGAGGGATCTTCCCAGATCAGGGCTCAAACATGTGTCCCCCGCATTGGCAGGCGGATTCTTAACCACTGCGCCACGGGAGGTCCCGACACGTTTTAAGAAATATTTATTTACTTATTTATATATTTATTTGGCTGTGCCGGGTCTTAGTTGCTGCATGCAGGATCTTTGTTGCCGCGTGCGGGATCTTTAGTGGCAGCATGTGGGATCTTTTAGTTTCGGCATGCAGGATCTAGTTCCCAGACCAGGCACTGAACCCAGGCCCCCTGCACTGGGAGCATGGAGTCTTAATCCCTGGACCACCAGGGAAGTCCCACCTTGACATATTTGTCGGAAATAATGAATTCATCACCATTCATTCACATGGTGAATCCATGCCACCTTTTCTCAGGTCTGAGCATGAATCAAACGCATCTCTAAAACTTTTTAAAAATTTAGATATCTGAGCCCACTTGCCTCATCTATTGAACCTAAATTTAAGAAAGCAGTGCCAAACATTTTTTGTTTGTTTGAGTCCATGAGTGACTGGAGCATTAGGAGAGAATCTAGAAGACATGGTTAAAAGAATTCAATAATTCACTAAATTGAATTGACTCTATCAGTTTTTTGATAAATTTGAGCACATCCCTTTTAGTAAATTCATCAATAGAGATATAAATAGAGGCAATTTTTCATGAAATCTATTAGATGATCATTATAAAATAACCTGTCACATCTGCATCTCTACTTCTACCTGCTTGAATAAGTCCTGCTGCCTGTCAGTGATCAAATGACTGCAATATTGTCTAGAACTTCTTTACATGAAATTATCCTCCCAGTTCCTCTTCTGTGAAGTGGCAGGGAGCCCTCAGAATACATTGCACTTGTCATTTTATAGCTTAGTGTTGCTTTTAGCATGGCTAAAGCACTGTTACCCTTTCAGTATCCAGGGCCCCTCCCTTTTTTTTTCAGCCACTTTTGAGAGCTCAGTCCGAAGTGTAAGAGATGCGCACATCTGTGTGAAAAGCTGAGTTCGCTTTGATTCTCTGCTACATGATCTACTGGGGCATGTCTGCACGCAGTAGTGGTCAGAATTTGTATCCTCATGACCTCACTTTTGCTTACAAAGCTCACTTTGTCACGTGGGCCACTTAACCATTTTGGTGGAGCAGTAAACAAATAGGAAAGGCTCCCAGGAATTATATTATATGAGGAAAACAGGACTGAGCCGCTTTATGCAAGTTACTTCCCTAATTTATGTACATGTTTGGGTTGGAACAAGTCAAAGGCAAAGATTACGGCTAAAGAAAAATACTGCAGAAGCTCTGGAGATAAAAGAGCTTCAAAGGTTTTCTCTCCCCCTGGTGGCCATATGGAGTCAGTACAGCAACTTGCAGAATTAAACTCTGCCTTCCCTCCCTGGCCTTTGTTAAAGTTCCTTAAAATAGACATTCCTACCAAAGAGTTCTTCATGACAAGAGACAATAGAGATTTTTAACGCTTCTGTTTTTGAGTTCAAGAATTCTGTCCTAAAATGGGAATAATGTCAGCTACAAGGATATATTGTACAACACAGGGAATATAGCCAATATTTTATAATAACTATAAACAGAGTATAACTTTTTTTTGTGTGTGTGTGTGTGTGTGATACGCGGGCCTCTTACTGTTGTGGCCTCTCCCGTTGCGGAGCACAGGCTCCAGACGCGCAGGCTCAGCGGCCATGGCTCACGGGCGCAGCTGCTCCGCGGCATGTGGGATCTTCCCGGACCGGGGCACGAACCCGTGTCCCCTGCATCGGCAGGCGGACTCTCAACCACTGCACCACCAGGGAAGTCCTAGAGTATAACTTTTAAAAATTGTGAATCACTATATTGCACACCTGTAACTTATGTAATACTGTACATCAACTATACTTCAATTTAAAAAAGTTTAAAAAGTGGGAATAATATCAATACCTTAATTTGAAAACAGAAAGGACAATAATAAAAGACAAATTAAAGGTTCCAATGAATAAAACGTAGTTAACAGTAGGGGCATTTAGGAACAATGACAGTATTAATCAAACATGAAATATGAAGCAAGACAGAAACAGCAGTTCTGGAAGAAAAAAAGCTACTACGACATTTTCAAATATTCAACAGATAGGTAAAACTGTACCTTTTTTATTCGGTTAAAGGGTATCTGTTTAACAGCGTCAATGTGTGTAACAGATTCGTGGGCAGAGAACATACTAGTTGCTCTTTTAAAATAAAAGCAATACCTACTTGTCTACAATGTTATATCCCTCTGAACTAATGCACAAGTCCAATTTCTCCCTCCTACACAGAAAAACAGACTGTTGAAAGACTCTGGCCAAACTCAAGTGCTGCAGCATGGCAATCTGAACAGGTGAAGAATGAGAGCAAAGGTTATTTTCTAACAGCTTTCTTTGCTAGATGGCTCTAGTCAAAGGGTGTGGCTTGGGCTGTGGCCAGGTGGGGACGGAAGTTGGCCATAGGTGAATACAGTCTCACCATGGTAAGTCCTCTATGGGGAAATAAGTCAGCTTTATTCAGAGAATCTGTACCTCAAGGAAGCAGTCTGGGGCTGCCACAGCATTCTCTCTCAGCACTGTCAGTGTTGGTTCCATGAAAGCATTTAGTCCGGCCTCAGAGCTTTCCCACACAGAGGTCCCTCACTGGTAACACCTTTCTCCACTCTTCACAGCACTGGTTCCCAATCCTTCAAGCCTCAGCTTGTTACCCTCTTACACATGGCTTCCCTGACCATCACACCTGCTCTCTATCAGGACCCTGTGTTTTCCCTTGCTAGCACTCTTCTTACTTTTTTATTGTATTCCTTGCTGTGCTTCCTGGCTTAGTGCCTCTCTTCCCCCATAGACTTTGGCCTCCACTAGGGCAGGGTCTGCATCCATTTCCATCAACATTTGTCTAGGCCAACACATAACTCATAGTAAAAACTTTACACATATATGTTGAATGATTGGACAAATTTAACGTTGGCTAAAGATAGGAATATAGGTTTTTATCTCCCGTGCTGACTCAGACCTATTGCTATAAAGTGATTGTGTTAGGAATCTGAGACCAAGTCTGTACTCAGTAAGAATTGAAAGATTGATCATTAATGGCAGGCTGAATAATGGCTCCTCAAAAATGTCTACAGCTGAACCCCCAGAACCTGTGAATATGTTACCTGACATGGCAAAATGAGGTTTGCAGATGTGATTAAGTTAAGGATTCAGAGATGGAAAGATTATTCTGGATTATCTAGGTGGGCTCCATGTCATCACAGGGAGGAGAAAGAGATATGCCAATAGAAGCAGAGGTCAGAAAAAGAGAGAGTAGAAGGTGCTATGCTGCTGGCTTTGAAGATGGATGGAGGTAATTCCCACAGCCAAGGAAAGGAACAGGCAATCAAACAGATTTTCCCTTAGAGTTTCCAGAAGGAATGCAGCCCTGATGACCAATGTCAGACACGTTACTTCTGCAGCTATAAGGTAATAAATTTGTGATGCTTTAAAGCACTGAGTTTGTGGCAGTTTTTATACCAGATACAGGAAATTAATACACTCAGCATTGTCACAATATTTTCACAATATTCCTGAATAATTTACAATAAGCTTTCATGAGCAGGTACAAGCTGACTCCAACATACCACCGCAGCTAAGAATGACCAGTAACTTGGGACTTCCCTGGTGGTCCAGTGGTTAAGAATCCACCTGCCAATACAGGGGACAATGGCAGGGCCCCCTTTAGGTTTCCATATTGGGCAGTGCAGCCCTGCCTCTTGTTGGTCTTCAGATTGCTTCCAAATAGGAAGGATATTTAGAAGCTGGACAACCAAAACAAACAAATGTCCACTACAGAATTTGTCCATTTCTCCTTTGATTTAGTGGTCATATTATATTATATTTATTAAATATATTTGTATTTATTATATGTGTGTCTATTTCTCCACTAAACCATCAATTCCTTGTGGACAGTGACCTTATCTTTTCACCTCTATATTCATAGCTCCTAGCACATTGGTTGGCACCAGATCTATATAAAAGAATATTTATTCAATTTCATACCTGTGGAAAATGTCCATATTTTGTTCTTTGTATGTCCCTCATATTTTCCCTAGTTATTAGTTAAAATTAATTAAATAGTATCAGACCTAAACCTCTGCCATTTGCCCTTTAACATTTTGTAGGTGTCTATCCCTTGAATAAAACTTTAATATTACTAAAAAAAAGAATATTTATTCAACAGATCACTTAACGGATATAAACTATACTCTTATTTGACAGTATGTTATATTACCTGCTCAGTGGAGTTTTAGATGTAGCTTTTCTTCTAAGCTAAAATATATTTATGTATTTTAAATATGCATATACTTTCAGTTTTTAAATACTTTGACTCACAAGAAGTTGCAAAAACAGTACTACTGAGAGTTCCTAATGCATTCACCCAACTTCTCCCAATGATAACCGATGTAAGTTTTTACATCCGTGGTTGAATATTTCTTGACCCTGCTGTCTCTTTAGTCACTTCTCATGTTGCCAACTGAGGTGAATGCAGGGAACTCACGCTAGTAATCCATGTTTCCTCCACCATTTATTCCCATCTTCTAATTTCCTCCTTTTTCTTTCTGTCCGCCTCTTTCTGTTTGCTTTCTACGGTTATTCTCTTTAATGCCTCCCCTTTCATTCTTCTTGTACTCACTTTAAACTATTTTTAAAATGTCTTAATTCCAAAGATACTTGGAGGCATAATAAAATATGCATTAGTGTGCGTGCACGTGCACACACACACACATAAACTGGTCATAAATTGGGGGTGAAAGGAAAGTTGGCACTCAAGCACAGGAGTTTGTCTCATGTGTCCCTCTTCTCCCTGGAGTCCATCTACCAAGTCCACAGCCATCTCCAGTCTGGGCACTCTAAGGCCCCAAAAGTTCTTCCTCTGCTTGCCATGGATTAAATATCCTCCTTGATTACAGCCATATCTTTGGCAACTCCTGTCAGAGCAAGGTGGAGTTCACTACATGGAGCAGTGTATCAGTCTGCTTGGGAGTCATAACAAAATACCATAGTTGAGGGGCTTCCCTGGTGGTGCAGTGGTTAAGAATCCACCTGCCAATGCAGGGGACACAGGTTCGAGCCCTGGTCTGGGAAGATCCCACATGCCACGGAGCAACTAAGCCCGTGAGCCACAACTACTGAGCCTGCGCTCTAGAGCCCGCGAGCCACAACTACTGAAGCCCGTGTGCCACAACTACTGAAGCCTGCGTGCCTAGAGCCTGTGCTCCACAACAAGAGAAGCCACTACAATGAGAAGCCTGCACCCCACAACAAAGAGTAGCCCCCGGTCACTGCAACTAGAGAAAGCCCGTGTGCAGCAGAGAAGACCCAATGCAGCCAAAAATTAAATAAATGAATAAATAAATAAATTTTAAAAATACCATAATTGAGTGCCTTAAACAACAGAAATTCATTTCTCATAGAGAACTTACTCTTGAAATGAGTGCATATAGCTGATTCCATGTGTGACAGGAGACAACTATTTAACTGGAAATTCTCCCAATTCACTCCTGTCTGGGAAGCCCAAGATTAAGGTGCCCGCCGATTTGGTCTTGGTGAGACCTCTCTTCCTGGCTTGCAGATGGCTGTCTTGATATGTCCTCACATGGTCCTTCCTCGGTTTGTGCATGCAGAGGCGGTGGGTGGGGGCAGAGAGAGAGAGAGAGAGAGAATGTATCTTCCTCTTTTTTTTTCTTTTTTTTCTGGCCATGCCACATGGCTTGCAGGATCTCAGTTTCCCAACCTGGGATTGAACCCCGGCTCAGGCAGTGAAATCGCCAAGTCTTAACCACTGGACCGTCAGGGAATTCCCTGTGTCTTCCTCTTCTAATAAGGCCACCAATCCTATTAAATTAGGACGCCCACCCTTATGACCTCATTTAATCTTAATTGGCTCCTAAAAGCCCTAGCTCCAAATACAATTACATGGGGAATTAGGGCTTCAACATACAAATTTGTCAGAGGGACACATAGTTCAGCCCATAGCAGGCAGAGTATGAGCTGGATAGTTGTGTGCTGTGCACTCCAGAGATTTTGTAGATCACATTCTCTAGCTGTATTTACTCTTTATTTCCCAACTATTGTTCTTAAATCTTTGGTAAAGACTTTGTAGTGAATAGCAAACAAGATAAGGATGTCCAATCTCACTGCTATTATTCAACATAGTTTTGGAACTCCTAGTCTCGGCAATCAGAGAAGAAAAAGAAGTAAAAGGAATACAAATTGGAAAAGAAGAAGTAAAACTGTCACTGTTTGTAGATGACATGATACTATACGTAAAAAATCTTAAAGATGCCACCAGAAAACTAGTAGAGCTAATCAATGAATTTGGTAAAGTTGCAGGATACAAAATTAATGCACAGAAATCTCTTGCATTCCTATACACTAATGATGAAAAATATGAAAGAGAAATTAAGGAAACACTCCCATTTACCATTGCGACAAAAAGAATAAAATACCTAGGACTAAACCTACCTAGGGAGACAAAAGACCTGTATGCAGAAAACGGTAAGACACTGATGAAAGAAATTAAAGATGATACCAACAGATGGAGAGATATACCATGTTCTTGGATTGGAAGAATCAATATTGTGAAAATGACTATGCTACCCAAAGCAATCTACAGATTCAATGCAATCCCTATCAAATTATCAATGGCATTCTTTACAGAACTAGAACAAAAAATCTTAAAATTTGTATGGAGACACAAAAGACCCCAAATAGCCAAAGCAGTCTTGAGGGAAGAAAACGCAGCTGCAACATCATTAACCATTAGAGAAATGCAAATCAAAACTACAGTGAGATAACATCTCACACCAGTCAGGATGGCCATCATCAAAAAATCTAGAAACAATAAATGCTGGAGAGGGTGTGGAGAAAAGGGAACACTCTTGCACTGTTGGTGGGAATGTAAACTGATACAGCCACTATGGAGAACAGTATGGAGGTTCCTTAAAAAACTACAAATAGAACTACCATATGACCCAGCAATCCCACTACTGGGCATATACCCTGAGAAAACCACAATTCAAAAAGACACATGCACCCCAGTGTTCATTGCAGCACTATTTACAATAGCCAGGTCATGGAAGCAACCTAAATGCCCATCAACAGATGAATGCATAAAGAAGATGTGGTACATATATACAGTGGAATATTACTCAGCCATAAAAAGGACCAAAATTGGGTCATTTGTTGAGATGTGGATGGATCTAGAGACTGTCATACAGAGTGAAGAAAGTCAGAAAGAGAAAAACGAATATCGTATATTAACGCATATATGTGGAACGTAGAAAAATGGTAGAGATGAACCTGTTTGCAGGGCAGAAATTGAGACACAGATGTAGAGAACAAATGTATGGACACCAAGCAGGGAAAGCCGCGGGGTGGTGGTGGTGGTGGTGTGATGAATTGGGCAATTGGGATTGACATGTATACACTAAAGTGTATAAAACTGATGACTAATAAGAACCTGCTGTATAAAAAAAAAATAGAAAAAACCTGTTTATTAGGTTTATAGACATGTGCAATTTAATAAAAAACAAACACTACTGTTACCTTGGGGGGAAAAAAAACTGGTAGGTACTTTATTACTATTATTACATTATTATTTAATTAATTAATTTTTTTTTTTAAACTGACAGACACACACCTATAAAGTTCAGTAGAAGAAATTTTTCATTGTCTCTATTTCTCTTCTGGTCATTGCTATCATTCATTTAATTTCTTTCTTTATTTTTTTCCTTTTTTACTTAGAGTAAATGCAGCAGTAAATCAGCAGTTGAATTCCATTACAATTGTTATGTTGGAAGAGGAAGAAGGGGGGAAAAAGTCAAACACTTTCTTAGTAGAAAAACACACACATACACACACACACACACGCCCTCCCCCCCCCCACCCCCAAAAAAAACTGAGCAGAAGGAAAAAGTGAAGAGCTGGGAAGTAAACACTAAGATTCCTCAAGCCCAACAGAGCTCACAGGAAAGCAGAAGAGCTGGTAGGGAGCAGAAGAAAGGCAGCAGATAGGTCCAGAAGCTAAGGCCAATCCTGTTCCTAAGGGGGTTTGGGGAGGGGAGATGAAGCCTGGTGAAATGGTTTCCCAGTCCCAAGGCAATGAAACATCTTCTCTCCTGCTCCACGGAGAAAGCAGCACAGAGAAAAACTTCATTTTTAAGAAGTTTGAGGACTTCCCTGGTGGCGCAGTGGTTAAGAATCTGCCTGCCAATGCAAGGGACACCGGTTCGAGCCCTGGTCTGGGAAGACCCCACATGCCACGGGGCAACTAAGCCCGTACGCCACAACTACTGAGCCTGAGCTCTAGAGCCCGCAAGCCACAACTATTGAGCTCACGTGCCACAACTACTGAAGCCTGCGCGCCTAGAACCCGTGCTCCGCAACAAGAGAAGCCACGACAATGAGAAGCCCGCTCTCTGCAACGAAGAGTAGCTCCCGCTCGCCGCAACTAGAGAAAGCCTGTGCACAGCAACGAAGACCCAACAGAGCCAAAAATAAATAAATAAATAAATATATTAAAAAAAGAAAAAAGAAATTTGAGAGCTATCCTAATTCTTCCACTTGTAAGGATGCACTGTGGGTGCCAGGAAAGGAAGGGGGAGATGTATGCGTGTTTCAGGGCCACGGGCACCAAGGCTGCCCCTGGGAAGGAAAGGAATTGAAGGCCTAAGTGGGGGAACCTAAGCTGGGTCCCTCAGAAGTTCAGTTTTATGGCTTTCTCAGCTGCTCTGGGACAGACGGCAGTCTGTAGGCCAAGAAGGCAGAAAAGTTCCATCCTAAGTCACCGTGGTCTCTTCTATCTACTTCCCACAATTTTCTCAAAACTCTGGGCTAGAACAAAAGGACTTCAGAGTTCTCTTTTGCCTTGATGGCTTCCCAAAGACATCCTAAAATACCTGATGAGGGATGTGAAGAGAGGCTAGAGATTTAGAAAGTCCTCTGCTGCTGTGAGACAGCTGTGGGGGACCTTCAGTGCCAGTTGTTCCCTGTCCACAGGAGCACGTGTTATGATATAAGGGGCCACAGGTAGGCTTCTGTGGTGCTACCCCCAGTGGTAGAGGGATTAAACCACTGGTTGCATGGTGGGTGGGTATGGGCATAAGCCTGGAGGGACCAAACTAAAATTACTAACAAAGGAGAAAAGAAATAGGGCTCATGGGAGGTGGGGGACAGAACAGACTGTACAGTGGAACTGAAGATCATACCTATTTAGAGGGAGGTAGAAAAAGCTTGGTAATCAGTGGATCAAACTGAATGTGAACCCTGGGAAAGGATAGAAAACCCCTCCCTCTTGCCTGACTCCTCCTCATTCCCCTACTGTGGCCTACACTATCCTGAGATCCTTCTCCAGTTTCTCAGTTAATTCCCCAGGAAAGGCAAACCTCTACCCAAGAGCTGTGTTGGCAAGAATATAGGTGAAGCAAGAATCAGAATTGGAGGAAGCTGACAGTGGAGACTGGGTTGGAGTAGCTGCCGCCCATACTGTTTTCTACAGCCCCTCCCCAAACCTCAAATACACCTTGGATTCCATTTAATTAAAAAGGTAAGAAGGCAGGTAAATCAATCAGAACCCTCATAAAACAACTATCACAACTGAACTACCATTAAAGAACAAAGTGCAGGGGGATTTAGTGGCTGGGGCTAAGGCCATCTGCAGGCCAGAGGGGGGAAAAAGCTATGTATAAATCAGAGTATGGGTATCAGAAACTTGTCCCTCCTCCAATTAGATCACAGCAGCACCCAAGATTCAGGCAACCAGTGAAGATTCTTTGGAGGACTCTGGGGTCCAGAGTCTCCCCCACTATGGGGGAAAAGCTATCTAAGAGGTTGGGTGAGGGGAAACTAGGTCTTGGAAGAGATCCAGAGGCACAGATGACACTGCATCTCCACCTCTTTCACCTCTGCCCAGTTACTAACAACAGGACTCCCACCTGGTGCCCAAGACTTTTCTTCCCATTCTCACTTCTACTTAGAAACACCCTCCACACGGCCAACTCATGAATACTGCAGTGTTTTCAAATATGAGAAACTCCAACCAAATAAAAACAAAAACTCCCTCTTGCTCTGAGCTTTACCTTCCCCCCAGGGCCTTTAATGTCATTGAACAGAAAACCTCTTTCCTCAGTTCCTGGGTTCACCACCTTCTCCATCCTGGGGAGGGGAGGAAAAGGGGATGCAGATTGACCGAAAGCAGAATGGGAAGGGGCAGGAGACGAAAAATGTTTTCTGAAAACATGGGGAGGAGGAGGAAAGATAAGTAGGTCACTGTCTTGTACCTATAATGCAAAGTAAAGAAAGTTTGTTTTAGAAGGTGAGTCCTGGGGGATCTGACCCCTGACACCCAAGCCCCAGGGTAGGGGCTGGAGGCCAGTGGCAACAGCTGCCTGGTGTTGGTTGCTAGAGTGGTAAAAAGTGCCATGATGGAACTGTTAAGAGGCAGCCCTTGGGAGCCAGGGCTTAGCGTGCTTCTACCGTAGGGACTGTGTGCTGAGCGGTGGGGATGGAGGTTATTTCCTAGTTCTCATGCTAGCTCAACACTTGTTTGCTGCTAGCCACCTGCTCAGTTGCTACAACACTGGCTCTTATTCTGCTGGGACTGTTCTTGGAGATCCACACCCAGGCTTTGGCCCAAGGCACCCCCAGATTCTAGGGTTCATTCTGGCAGTTTCTTAGCTGTTGCCAGGAAGGAATAATTCATGTTCATAGCTGTCTTGGCTTAAGTCTCCATAAACAATAAGCTGTTTTCGTCTTCATACACCTGGGCCCCTCCATATTCTACCCTGTGCTTGCTGCCTGGGTCAGCTGTGGTCCCTGACAGGGCAATAACCATGCTAGGACTGGCCTGTCACTGTAGTTCCTTTATTCATAGTCTAGTGAAATATAAAGACAAACATATGGAGTGGCACTCAAATTTGTCATTTGTGGGTTTTATATGCTGGTAAGATAAAAGTTTCAGTCTTAGGGAATTCCCTGGCAGTACAGTGGTTAGGACACAACACTTTCACTGCTGGGGCCTAGGTTCAATCCCTGGTTGGGGAATTAAGATCCTGCAAGCTGTGTGATGGGACCAAAAACAAAACAAAACAAATAAAAAAATATATATATATATATATTTCAGTCTTAATAACCTTCTCAATTTTAAGACCATTTGTATAAAGATAAATATTCTGTGAAATTTTCTGGCCAAAATAGCCTGTTATCCTGGTGAAGACACAGCCATATCAGAAAAAAAAAAAGTAATAATTTAATTTTTAAAAAGTCATGTTCTGGTTTTACTTGTAAATCAAAAAGAAAAAAGATTAGGACATGTTAATACATGTTTTGGAAACTATAGCTACTTTCATTCAGTTTGATAATTTGATCAGTCACTAAAAAATTCGTTAAAATTTGTAGTTTTAATCTTTCTTTGGATTTTCTGGGTTTTTTAAAAAACAATTGGTGAATTTTTTAATTAATCAGAATTAATTATAATTATATAAATTTATGCTTATGACACAAATGATAGTGATTGAGATGTATGCTAAGAGATTATGTGCTTAAAAAACACTAAATGAATTAAATAATCAAAATTTTAGTATCACTAACTGATAAATAAGCCAGTGTTTTTCAAGCCTTTATATGTGTTCAAAATGTCAAATAGGTGGCAGGACTTTCCAAGCGTGTTAAACTTGTGATTGAAGTTATAAAATATTGTTAAAGGTGTTTTGTTTACAGTTATAAAATGTTGCAGTTTGTTCACAGTTATAAAGTATAGAAGATTGGTTGCGTTTATAGTTGTAAAATGTTACATAAAGTTGTTTTGCTTACAGTTATAAAATGCTTTAGAATGTTGTTATGGTTATTAAGTGTAGAAGGTTGGTTGTGTGTACAGTTATAAAATGTTGTAGAAGGTTGTTTTGCTGACTATATCGTTACTAGAAATAGTCTACTTTAAAAATACTCTAGGTTATTATATCAGACAAAACTCTTTTTGTTGCAAGTCATAGCAACTCAGTTTGATAGCCATTGACCTTCTTAGTTACATGTGCTTACAGCTTCTGTGTATTACAGGAGTGGGTAGTCATGGGAAGGGCTGTGGCTCTCCCAGGTTGAGTTGTGGACTCAGCTCTGAAACAGTCACTTTGCCATGTGGACAGGTTAATCCAAAGGTATCCTTTAGGGCATGGGGTTCTATGATTGCACTCCCATCTGAACCATAAGGAGTGAGGAATGGGTGGTTCCCAAAGGAAGGCATATTGGGCAGATAAGTCACATTTGTCCACTCAAGTTTCCTTTCAAAATAATTGTTATCTGTGAACAGCCTTGTGGGGCCTAAGTTTGGATTGTCCTCATTTGAAAAATGACAATAGTGCTGGATTTACTCATTATTTTTATGAAATCATAAAAAGAATAAAGTTGTAATTTGCATCATTATAGATCTCAGGGTTTGTGGTGAAACTGAAGAGACTTTCTTACAGGATAATATTTATGTTTGGTAGGAAAGGTACCTCCGAAATTAATTATGTTCATTATCTTATTATTTAGAAATAGCATATCTGACTTTTTATTTTTTATTTTATCTTTGGCTGTGTCAGGTCTTAGTTGCGGCATGCAGGATCTTCATTGCGGCATGTGGGATCTTTCGTTGTGGCACTCGGCTCAGTAGTTGTGGTGCATGGGCTCCAGAGCACGTGCACTCTGTAGTTGCAGCATGTGGGCTAAGTTGCCCCACGGCATGTGGGATCTTAGTTGCCTGACAGGGATCAAACCTGCGTCCCCTGCACTGGAAGGCGGATTCTTAACCATTGGACCACCAGGGAAGTCCCTTAACAGAAGAAAACCATAGTGAATTTATATAATGCTCCACTATTTAAAAATTCTTCTCTAGAGTTTGGTAGGTTG